GGGGGGGAACGTCCGTCGCTTTCTGATGAATTCATCGGCCCCGGGCGCCGCAGGGGAATCTGGCCCCCGGAGGCTGGTGCTCGAACCCTGAACTCTCGTCTCCTGCGGACTGACAGGTTTGTCGGCCACGCGGACAGGTGAGTCAGCCTCGGGCTGGAACTCGTGTGCGTGGAGGTGGTGCGTGTGCGCCTGGGCTCAGAGAGCTTTCTTTTAGGGAAAAAAGGAACAGACTGTAGGAAACATATGGGCAGACACTGCGGCGCGGCACACTCAGGGCCGAGCACGACAGACCGTGTTGGGAGCGGCTGTGTAGCTGCCGGGTGTGTGTGTGTGTGTGTGTGTGTGTGTGTCGAGGTGGAGAGCAGGGATCCAACAGGAATTGAAGGAAGAAGATTTTTAAAAAAGAAGCGAGGAGGAGTTTGAGTGTAACCTTTGTTTTATGTTTTCAGGTAAACGTTGCAGAAAATGTGACCTGACGTTTATATATTTTTTTAAATGGAAGGACTTCTGTTGTAACAGAAGTTTGTAAACATTCTTAAAAACCGCTTCTCACTCCGCCACCATAAGAGAACTGCTTGTTTCCAGTTCGGAGCTGAATCTGAAAATTATTTCATGTGTGATTGCTCTCCTAAAATAATCTATTAAGTTCTCTATTGAAAATAAAGCATTGCTAATTTTGCTCACCCTGCGATTCCCCGCAGTAGCAGGCGTTTTGCAAATATCAGTAAGGAACTTGAGGTTGATTTTTTTTTTTTTACACCCTTGAAATATTTTACGTAAGCACTTTGAATTAAGGTGCGGGTATGTGCAGTACTGTACTATGCCCTAGGTCCACAATGTTATCATATCATTGATCTGCCATTTGGAAAATGCAGATATTTTGTACATGAACTCACAGGATCCTGAAGTTAGATAGGTTTTCGGACCTGCTAGGATCCAAATTTTTTATTTTGTAGACTAGATCGTCAGAGTGCAGGGAGGTTGAGTTGTCTCAAGTCAACCTGCTTTCCTTCTGGCCCAGTGTTTGGACAGCTTGTAACGCTTCTGCTGACACAACATTTCAGAAGTAATTGAACTGTGTAAGGCAAGGCCTACCCTTTTAGTAGAGTCCTTTGTAAAGTATCGTTGGCTACATGTAAAAGTTTTAAAGGAGCACTGAACAAAAATATCTAACATTCAACCAGATTTTATGACCCAATACATTTTCATATTCCTCTTACATTATTTCTTACTCATTAACATGGCTAGTAGGTGACACTTTGGCAGAAATTAGATTAGAAAGTTACATACCATAATTTTGGAGTCACTGTCACTGCTCTTTCTTGCAAGAATGAGGAATTGTTAGTTCAGAAGGGAAGGAGTAGAATAGCAAGATGAAGTAGAGGAATGTTTAATGCACAGAAATGCATACCTTAAGGCACTATAAAAAGTCAAAAGCCCTTAACTTTATTGAGGCAGTAATGATTTAGACAATTCTAGACATAATCTAAACAGAAATGGTGTGCAAACTCAGCTTATTTGTATGGTTGTCAGAAAAGAAGTAGGAAGAAATTTAATGCAATTTGAGACAAAACTGAACAGGCTCTTTAAAAATAACAATAACAACAACAATAAAACCCAGCATCCAGTAGGACATTACAAAATGGAACCAATTCTCAGGGCTTTGGTTTTAGAGAATGCAAAATCATTGTGACTGGCAGTTTACTGGTGTCAGATACGCCACCCCAGCACATCTCTAGTTGCCTTCACTTTGTTGTACTGACTCAGATTAAAATTTTTTATACAAAGAACTCAAATGACTATTATCTCTATTCAAAATGCTGCAACTGTGTTCCTGCAGTCTTTTATATCTATTTTATAACATTTTTGAATATCATCTCTTCACATTTTTATTTCCCACACTGAATGCAAACTCTTTGAGATCATCATTCATTACTGCCTAGCTCTTTTAGTCAGCATTTTTGGTTTTTAGCTACAGAAAATCAAATCAAATAATCCAGTAAGAGGAATACACTGGTTCTCCTCCACAGTCCAGGGCTACCTTAATAATGGTTTAGTAGAGAGACTGGGTATGATTCCTCAGTATGAGCATAGTATTTAAGGGCATGAACTCTAGAACCAGACTGAGTTTAAATCCCGCCTTTGCCACTTACCAGCTCTGTCATTTAGGCAAGTTAAATTACCTTTCTTTGTTTCAGTAGAAGCTATACAAATGTTTGTTACTATTGCATTGCCATTTATCTGCTTCAATAACTCTTATTGGGCTATGAGTTACTCAAGAGCAGAGATCAAGTATTACCTTCGTAACATCCCACCTGGCACAGTTTCTAGCACGTAGTAGTCCTTCATAGTGTGCTTAGATTCTTTCTACCTCTCAGTGAGCAAATCAAATATTACCATCTTTGCCCTGGCCAGGTGGCTCAGTTGGAACGTCATCTCATGCACAAAAAGTTTGCTCGTTTGATTCCCAGTCAGGGCACATACCTAGGTTGCAGGTTCTGTCCCCAGTTGTGACACTCATAGGAGACAACCAATCAGTGTGTCTCTCCCACATCAATGTTTCTGTCTCCCCCCCTTTCCTCTCTCTCTAACAATCAAAATATATCCTCAGGTGAGGATTTAAAAAAATTATCATCTTTCCTGTTTGAGAAATGAGCACACTGGGGCTCAGCAATAGATTATCAAAGATAACACAACTAAGGAATAGTAAATCTGAAATAAGGAATCAGGTGTGTCGACTACTAATTTAGTGTCCTCTCCCATATCCCAGGTATGGAATTAAGTTTCATCCCTCATATCAACTCTGGTTGATTGGTAGTCAGTTACCGTAGCACTGCACTGAGAATTCAGAAGCTACATTTGAACTTTGCAAATAAGAACACTCTGTTTAATAAGCAATCACTGCAAGGCATGAGGTAATATTGAGGTAGTACCACTTCTCTCTATATACTTCCCCCATGAGGAAAACATTGCAAGTTATATTTTTTCCCTAAAAATACTATGTTTTTTTCTTGTAATTTAGGAGATTGAATTAGTTCTCAGTAATGGGGAGAACCTACATTGTAGAAGAGACTGTTGGCCAGTATCTTTCAAACCTCAATCTCCAAGGAAAGTCTTTGGTCTCCGGTCTTTTAATAGGACAGGTATGTATCGTTTACTTTGTTTTATACTCCCTTCTAATCTTTATTCATTCCTGGTTGTTCAGTTCTTTATAGAAGTAGCTTTTGACAGTTTTATTCCCATTCTAGTTAGTCTTATCTCAGACTTATAACAACAGTGGTCCTATATTTTGTCACATAGTGTAGTACCTGTCTTACTGATATTTTTAAATGTTGATTCAGTGGAGAGAAATCTGAAAATTAGATACATTCTATTTGCCTCATAGAGTTAAACCTTAAAAAATCAACACAAAATGGAATAGCAATTTGGACAGTTACTTTAGAAAGCATAAGCACCAACTGATTTATTATAATTGAAGGAAGACTGTGTTAATAAGCAAGGAGGACTGGTCAGCAATACAAAGCAACAATAACAACAACAAAAAGAGAGTTACATAGACAAACTGCCTCTTTCCATCTAAACGCTATTTAGGGGAAAGTGCACTGTGGCCAAAGGACCTGAGTTTGAGGCCTATTAGCAATAAAGCTCTATTGTGACAGCTTTCTTTCTGGATATTTTATCATGATGTCTTAGAATATTCAAATTGCTTAATTAACTTTGCTTGTTCTGATTCTATTCACATTCCCATGAGTCCTCTAGTCATACCTTCATGGTAACATCTGATTCTTAACTTGTAAGACAGAGGGCAGACCCTGCACTGTTCACCCAGGTAGTATCATCCTATGAGGCCCCTCATTAGATAGCCAGTCTACCTCTCTTGGCAACAATCTGGACTACTTTTTTATTCAGGATACTTAATATCTAATACAGGGCTTTTTTTGCTAGGAACTTTTTATTTAAGGTTTTTACTTCCCATTATTTTTTAAAAAAATTTAAGGGAAGAATTGTTTTAGAGAAAGATGGGATCAGTAAAATAAAAGGTCAGTGAGAAATACCCTCTTCCAAACTTGCCTTACTGCACCTAGACTGTTTCTCACAAATAAGTCTCCCAATTAGGACGTTCCTTGTGGTCTTGCTTCATGCTGCCTTTTCATTCCATCCACTATTCTACATGTTTCTGCTTCCTCTTTATTCCAGGGTTCATCACTCTCTCCTTCCCCTCAGGCTTGTCTGTTTCCTCCTTCTAGGGTCATTTTCTTCTCAAAGTCATAGATTTTATGAGAAGGAAGAGCTTTCTTAATCAGCACCTACCTTTTCCTGTGTACATAACTTTTTATTCCTGCAAATCACTTCTGTAGAAATAATTTCTCTTTCTTTATTTTCTAGTCCAAGATGACACTAATGATGGGAATTGCAGGTCGTGCCCGAGGATGACAACATCCTAACTTGTATTACCAGCCTTATTTTTACTTTCTTTATGGGAAACTTCCACTGCGGTAACACTGAGCTATTAAATGTTCCCTGAGTTTATCTTTGGACTTCCCACCTTGGATTACCATTTAACTGCTACTAAAACTGAGTAACATAAATCTGATATCACTTCAGTTATGCGTCCCATTGTTTTTCTGTGGACACACGTGCAAGTTCCCCATTTTTGTCATTTCTTTTTGTTGTTGTTTGTTCTTTTTTCTTCTTTTTAAGTTTCTGTTGACATACAGTATTTGTCATTTTGCTGAAAGTAAGATGCATAAGGTCATTTGTTGCTTTATTTTACTGAATCACCCAATCTCAAGTTATATAGAAAATAAATATAATAACTAGAAAAATTGACCAAGCTCATTTATTATTTTTTGGTTTAAATGTATTTCATTCACCCGTCCAGTAAGCTATTTTTAGTGACTACTATGTGATTCACATTTGGATGTCCAAATAAATAAGAGGCTGATGTTAAATATACTAAAAGATGACATGTGAGGGAAGTATCAGAAGGATATTTATGAAAATCAATTTCTCTATAGATTCCATTATAATATAGGTATAACAATTATATTGTTTTAAGCTGTTATAAATTTTACTCAGTTTTTGCATATCATAAGAGCTTTACATTCCTCTGTCAGATATCATTCTAATAAGTTTTTCTAATTTGTTTTTAAGTGTTCTCCACAAAAGGATTATGTGCTTCTTGCCACTAGAACACCACCCAAAGAGGAAAAAAATGAGAACCTCAAACATCCCGAAGATAAGTTGGATAACTTGGATGAAGAATGGGCCACAGAGCATGCTAACCAGGTCATCATAGTTTTCTCCTTGTATAGTTGAGTTTGTGTTTATTGACTGACAAAATAAAAGCACTTCATCCTCAGATTACCAGACTAGGATTTCAGAGTGCTCATTCTTTTTTATTTAAATATGTTTTTAGTGATTTTAGAGAGAGGAAGGGAGAGGGAGACATAGAGAAACATCTCCTGGCTGCCTCCTGCATGCCCCCCACTGGGGATCGAGCCCACAACCCTGGCATGTGCCCTGACCGGAAATCGAACAGGAGACCTCTTGGTGCATGGGATGATGCTCAGCCAGCTGAGCCACACCGGCCAGGGTGGAGTACTCATTCTTAAGTTTTCACAACTTGCATTTTCTTACTTGAAGTTAAGTAACCTACCCAAAATTATAGAATAAGTAGTGGAACTGGGATTTGAACCCAGGCAGTCTGACTTTTTGATCTTATATGCTATGCTTTTCCATTGTTAATTTTTATCTGTTGTATTTTTTAACCTATCTCCTACTGTGGTCATTTAGCATATTTTTATTTATTTTTTTACTTTAAAATAATACTAGTTTTTGATAATATAGTTTCTGGTCAGATTGTTTTAAAGACTTAGTCTAGGCACTGAGGCAATAAAACGATGGTTAAATTTAAAAAATATATACCCTCAGAATTTATGTTTTAACCAAAGCAAAAGACGTTACCCAAACCAGTTATAAGAGAAATGAGATGTAAATGGAAAAGTGTTGCAGGAATATAGAGAGGGTAATGACTAAATACCTGCCGGTGGCTGGATTCAGACATCTTCATTGAAGGCTGGGAACTTGAAGATGAATAGGACTTTGCCAGTAGAAGTCAGGGAACAAATTGAATGCCTAAAGGAAGGTGTGGGTAAATGACCTGAAGGCATGGAAGTTAAAGATGTGTTAGGAGAGTAGCAAGCAACTGGGTGTAATTGAAACACAGGGTATATAGAAGAATATAGTTAGACATAAGACTATAAGGGACCAGTTAGGGACGGCTTTGGAGTCCCATCCTAAGAAATGAGGAGTTTGTATGGTAGACTTCCAGAGCTCCCTATTTTGAGGAGTTAATATTGATCTGTCAGTAATTTAGAAAATAATTTTAATGCCTTGGTACAGTGTAAATGGAGAGTAGAGAGACTGGAAACAGAAGAGAAAACGTATAGTTATAGCAATAGTCCAAAAAAGGATGATGTGAGTCTAAGCAAGGCTCAGCTTCATAAGGAACAGAGTTTATGTCTGTTGTTTATGGCTATATCCTCAGTGGCAATCACAGTATTTTCATGGCGTATAAAGAAAACTCCAAAATATTGAATAAATGAATGCATGAATAAACTAAAGCAGTGAGCTAAATCTTTATTGTGAAAACATTTAAGAGAAAGAGCTGATATCAAGATGTTTAGTGACCAAGTAGATTGGGAGTGGAGAGATATTGTGAAAGAGTAGCTAAAGATAACTAAGATTTTTAGCCTGGGTTTCTAGGAAGATGGTGCTGCTATTACATGGGCAGGAAACAGATCTGAGGATGGGCAAGGAAATGATGTTTAAATCAATTAAAACTAGATGTTGAATGGATTATATCATCTAATAGAGAATGTTAGAGTAAGATAAAAGTAAAAGTATTTCCTTCTCCAATGAACTTTAAATCTTTTAAACACATACATGTTTATTGGTGTCTGTGTGTATATGTTTGTGAAGGGGGGGAGGGTAGGTATGTAGTTATAAAAAAAAGTCCAAGAAATATTGAATACCATTTTCTAATAAAAATAAAAAAATATTTTAAACTTATATTTCCAAAGGGCTTAGTGTATGTATATATGTATGTATGTTTATTTATGTAGCTTATGTATGTATATAGAGAGATGTATTTTATATACAGTATACAAATATGTATGTATATATAGATGTAGAAACATAAAACTTAAATAGCAAAATAGATTCACACTTTTTGCGTTTAGGAAGAAATGGTTAATTTTATGTTGGTGATTTTGAAGATATGCAGATGCCCCATGCTAAATATGAAAATTTTATTCTTTATATGTCAAGCTTGTGTTATTATAATAAGTAGAATTTATGGAATCAGAGGGAGCCACCGGCAGATACTACACCATTATATTAGGGATTATATTATGGTATCTGAATTTCTGAAGACTTAATTTTGTCATCAGTTTGTTCATGTATTAACTACACAAAAGGTAACCAAAGCACTCCTATCTCTGAGTATAGATGGTAGAAATAAATCCATGTGGCATTAAGAAGTAGCCACAATCTTGTGAAGAGAAATCATAGATATTACGGAAGACAAAACTGGTAGTATGCATCACTTAAAAATATGCATAACTTCTTAAATTAGGAATCCGCCTCAAGAGACTTATCCTAAACAAACAATCCATTGAACACAGAAAGACTTGCTAGGATTTTTAACCAGTATTATTTTAGAGTAAAGAAAAATTACAAATGACATAAAGCTAAATTATATTAATAAATAGATTTTAAAAACTGAGGTAAACCTAAACAATAGGAAACAATGGATTTTCAAGTCAGACTCTCTCTGTTCAAATTCCAGGCTCTCGTATTCTGCTAAATACTATAGGGATACAAACATAGTAAAGCATTATTTCTTCCCTTAAGAACCTCCCAGATCAACTAGTAAGGCACCCAAAGCATAAGAAAAAGTCCACCCAGGCTGAGGGAGCAGCCCGAGTAAAGTATAGAGTTAGAAAGCCTAGTCATATGTATGGAGAACAGCAAGAAGTTTTTGACCAGTATTTTACTATTTCAGAGAAAGTAATGTCAAATGAGGGAGGCTCTGAATATCAGATTAGCCAGATTTTAGAGTCTGAAATAGCAATCTAAAGCAAAATTGATACTTTACTTAGCGGATAACAGAAGCCATTAAAAAAATCTTAGGAGATATTTCAGTCTTGGATTTCATGAGAAACGGGCTTATTTATGTAGCTGATGGGTTTCATTATTAAATGGTTTTATTTAGCCCTGCCGGGTGTGGCTCAGCGGTTGAGCGTCGAACTGGGATCCAGGTGATCAGGGTTCGATTCCTGGTCAGGGCACTTGCCCGGGTTACAGGCTCGATCAATGACTCTCTCATCATTGTTGTTTCTCTCTCTCTCTCTCTCCCTCCTTTCCTTTCTCTGAAATCAATAAAGATATATTTAAGAAAAAAATGTTTTAAATGGTTTTATTTATAAGGCAATTTTAGAGTAAAAGTTCAGGATACTCTAAGAAGATTGTATACATAATGATACCCCATTCATCTTTATTATCATCCATTTCTCACTATTTTAACCAGTTTTTTATAGCTCCTACCTCCATGCTATGCATATAGTTGGTATTCAGTAGGTATTTGCTGATCTAATATTTAGCTTCTCAAACACAAAGGATTGCGTATAATCCCAAATGTTTATACTAGCTAATACTGTATTTCTATTTTTAGGTATCCAGAATGCTACCTGGTGGACTCTTAGTTCTTGGAGTATTTATTATTACAACATTAGAAATGGGAAATGATTTTCAAAACACCCTGCGCAGAGTAAGTCTGAAATAGAAAAAGTCTTAATATGATCAAAGTTATATCTTATTTTAATTGGTTATACATATATACAGTCATCCTAGGCATATTTAGATTATTGTTCCATAATTCTTTATGCTGAGATTATGTTGAAACACCTTTTCCACCCGTTTGCATGGTATCTTGTGTGTGATAAAACAAGTTATTTAACTGTTTTTGTCATGCAATAGCAGTATTCATTTAGTTCCGAGTGATTGCTATTATGTGAAATAGGTTTTGCGATGCTTCACCTGTTCAGTTCTCTCAGTATCTTAAGAGTAAATCATAAAGTAACAATAATCAGATACGTTTTCTTTATTGCTGGACAGAGTATCATGAATCCCATCTTTTGTTTTATTCCTACATCAGTGAATTGGGTAATATAGTCTAGATGTAAATACTAAGGTTTGCAAGCTATTTCCCCTTAAAGGCTAAAGCAAACTCTGCAGCAGCTTTCATCTCTCTTTGTACTCAAGAGCCAAATGAGCCTTTAAAAAGTTATTGAGACCCCATAATCTGCAAAGTGCAGAATTCCCCCAAAACTTTTTCTAGTAAAAAAATATGCAGCTAAGAATTTCAGATGCTATAGATTCTTCCAGTTTTATAACCTTACCTATCAGATGTCCCACCCTCAAACCTTTGATATTTGTATCTAAGGGAGTAAAGGAAGCAAATGGAGATATATCCCTCCCTTGGCAAGTTACTCAACCTTCTGCCATCTTTTCCATTTTGAATAAATGTGTATCACACAGTTACTCAATCTCATTAGCATTTTGGAATATAATCTAAACCTTTATGTATTAATAACATTGGTTGTGCATCCTTTTGTGGTTGGCACTGGATTGAATGGGGTGAATGTGGGCTCAGTGCTAGAGAGAATCAGTCAGGTTCTCTTTCCTTTTGCTTTTGTATCTCTCTTCCTAAGAAGCATAAGAGACTTTAGAAATGCTGTATTTCAGAAATTATGGAGCTTGAATTATCTGATTTTGTTTCCATTAGCGAGCATTGAGGGACACTATAAGAAAGAATTTCATACAACTTGCCATTGCCAGTGTCTCCCATAAGGTCATTCATTGTTGAGAACTTTGTTTGTTATATCACATAATACTGTCTTTGAAGAAATTTCTTTTGATGTCATTATGAAGAAAGTTGTGCCTTTTCTAATCAATTGTTATCAGCTTTATGGACCATGTGAATCATTAGGCAACATTAGGTTTCTCTGTTCACATTATTGTTAGAAAGCACACTCTTGTTAGAAAGCCAAATTTATGACTCCTCTCCCTATGTCAAGTATGCACTTTTATAATTCTTATTTCTGACATAAATGCATGTCACTATTTTTTATTTTTTTTCATTTTAAACTTATGTTACTACTATATTTTATGTGTCCTTATATATTGCTTTAAATCTTTTGTGACATTTAAATAAACACCAAGGTGACATGCTCATTTTTATATAGTTTAAAAATAATTTGTCATTTCTCACTCTAATTAAAATAAAGTCTTTATTCTATATTTCACTTAAATGTTAGTTGCTCCAAAATAATTTTTCATGTCCAGTTGATTCTTAATGACGGTGGATTTTATTTTTCTATTTAAAAATCAATTGTTGCATGAATGAACCCAAATAGTTAATAATCAGTTTCACTCTTTCTTTTGAAGACAATTTAATGATAGAATTGTGGAATTTTAAAGCTAGATGGGGACTTAGGGACATTATAATTGTGTTTTTTTTCTGTACTCACTTTTCTTTCATTTTGCATTCAATTGGAGTGTGTGTTTTCCTCTATTTCAGCTAGTATTTGCTGTGGAAAAATCTATGAATAAAAAGAGACTGTGGAATTTCACAGAGGAGGAAGTCTCAGAGCGAGTGACACTTCACATTTGCTCTTCTACAAAAAAGTATCTTTTATTTAGGTGTTTATGTTTTAAAAGTATGATACCAAAATAATGTTCCTGCAAATGTTTTCCCCCAAACATTTATTTAAATCATTATTTAAAAAAATAGACATAGTTTGTAATTTTTTTCTGTAAGTAACACACAATTAGGACCGCTAATAATAATAATAGTAATAGTGGTTGTTCATCATGTCTCTGGTTTGCAAAGAGTTTGACAGAGGCAGCTAGTACTGGGGATTGGGAACTGTTTACCAGCTGTCTACCCCTGTATGCTGAAGCACAATAGACCCCCAACTGACAACTTAGGCAAAGTAGTGCTTTTATTATATTAAATTTTCACCTCCAATTGCTATTGATAAAATGTTCAATTCAAAGCACAGGTGCACTGAGCTGGGCAGTTAGGACATCCAAGAAATTGTTATGTCTTTAGCCAAGATCAAATGACACTAACATCCAGTTAAAGGGCCTCCTTAGCTTCTGTCCTCTACATCTTGCCAGGGCAAGAGTGCTTCCCAAGCGAGAGACAGCCTCACGAAGGGAGTGAAGCAATGCAAGGGCCCAATGAGTCGGGATTTGAAAAAGACAGAATTAAAAAAGTGATCATTCCTGCAGAAGCTGGGCTTTTAACTTCTTTGGATACTGAATGAGAAAGTCTCATGTACAGGCGCCTTGACCCAATAAAGATTCTCAGGCTTGACTCCATCTAAAACACCACACCTTTTTCTCATACAGAGTGTGTATTTGAGGAAATTTTCTCAAGTGCTTTTATTCTAATCATTGTGATTAGCAGGATTTAGAAGCTGTAGGACATAGTTTAAAGCACCACAACTATAATCAGAGCAATTTATACATGTATATATATATATATATATATATATTTGTACAAACATATACACTCATATGCATATATATCTTTAAATGTGTAAAGTGGTATGATTTTATAAAAACTCTTGGATGCTTATACTTTATTTTGTTTTTATTTTTCGATGTTTTCTTTGATTATCAAGAATTACTTCATTTTGGGTCATTTTTATCCTTAATTAGTAAAGAATATTTTGTCGAACTTATGATATCCATGATCCAAAGGTAAGAAAAATTGCTCTTTAAAGATTTTTCTGTGTTGCAAACTATTTTAAAAATAAAATTCAATTCTTTATTTAGTTTTAAAATTTTTCAGCGCTGACCCTCCTATTGATGTCCACAACTACCTACAGTTCTTGATTTTGAAATGTCAATTTCATTACTGACAAGGAAAATCTGTTTCTTTCTTAATTGTTAACATATTTTTATTAAACTCCCCATTCTTTGTTTATGTGTTAGTATCATACTTGAGAGGCTGTTGGTAAAAGTATGTGGGCTTTTGGTAGCTATAGTGCCTAGTAAGCAAGCTACTTGTACTTAGCAGAATCCAAACTAACATTTTACTAAAGTGTTTAAAAGCAATGTAAAAAGGTAACTTGTAGAATTCTGTTAGCACGGATGGGACAGCAAGGAGAACATGTGGCACCTAGTAGTCACTCAGTGGTTACTTGCTTCACATCAGGAGCTTCAGAATTGACATTGTTGAAACTACAGTTGAGAACAAGAGGACTTGTCTGAATTCTAAACAGGGACCATCTGATCCTTTTCAGCCAACTGCTGGGGGAGGAAGTTGCTAAGTTCAGTATTCTGAAGATTGCTAAACTTAAATGCATGCTTTATTTTTATATAGTTCTAATCTAATTGCCCTTTGATGAAAGAATTCCGCCAAATGTGTTAGTTATCAGGTTGTACGGGTTAGGTTTTACATATTATGACCTACATCTCATGTTTTATGTTTTTTCCCCTCCCTCCCTGCTAAAGACTTCAGCAAAACCAGCAGACTGGAAGTATCAAAATGGACTGTCAACTTCATGGCTTTCTTTGGAGTGTACAGTTCATATTAATATTCACATCCCATTGTCTACTACTTCTGTCAGCTATACTTTGGAGAAAAATACAAAGGTATCAGGGTAAAACGAACTTTCTGCAGTTATTGCTGAATAGATAATCTGCTTTTATTTTGGTTGTATGCCATTCATTTTATAATCCTCAAAATTGCATCTAATTATAATGATATTACTAGGGGTAGCTAATGTATTACCCCAGATTACAAGTTTAGAGGTGGGACAATGTCATAATACTAATTAAATATTTGTTAATTAACATAATTATGTACATTATAAAATATAGTTATGTAAGAAGATATACTGTTTGGTCTTTTTGCTTTCTCTTTGGTCTTGTTTTGTTCTCTTTTCAGTTCTTTTAAAAATTTTCTGTCTCATTCTTTTGTTTATATCTCATTTCTCCTGTTGAAGGAAGCAGTTGGAGATGGCTTATTTTTTCCTGTTTAATACTGCTTTATATATTTGAGGCTCTTTCTCTTTTCTCACATGTTTAAAAGATAATGGAAATTATTGAATTTATTTGACTGTGGTTGTGTAGTTATTAAGCCTCCTAAGTCTGTGATATGAATGGTAGTTTGGGATAAAGATTAGAAAAACTGTTATTAAATATGAGTAAGGTGCCAAAAATTGGGGATATACTTTTTGTTGTTGTTTATGAGACTGAGTTTAAATACCAAATTACTGATACTTAGAGATTTTTACTACTTCAGTGTATTAAGTGGAAAAAGTTGAGTCTAGGGAGTTTATTTGAGATGGCATCATTTCTGAAAGATATTGTGTTTCTCATAAGAATGGACTTGCACGCTGGGCCAAGCAAATAGAAAATGGTGTTTATTTGATAAATGGACAAGTTAAAGCTGAAGATTGTGACCTACTAGAAGGACAGGTGAGTTAAGAGAAAATCATCTTATGAAATTTTGTTAAGGGAAAATAAAAGATGACTTATCCGTAGTTCTTAAGTCCTTTCCTTCATGAAAACAGTTTTCATCTACTTCTTTTTTCTAAGGTCTTTTAAAGTAAAGGGCAGATGTTTTTCTCAGAAAATGATGGGAGATTATTTCTGAAATAATCAGAATCCTGCTCTGATAGCAGTTTGAAGACTAAGTTTCACCATTTTAAAGTGGGATCTATATGGGCTCCTAAAGTAGCTGTGATCTGAAGAGAAACTTTAGTGATCTCTCCTTTCAGAGCAAGGATCAGTGAACTTTATGTAAAAAAACCAATGGTAAATATTTTGAACTTTGAGGGGCCATTAGGCCTCTGCTGCAGCTGTTCAACTCTGATGTTGTAGCATGAAAGCAGCCACAGATAATATGTAAATGAATGATGTTGGGGTATGCCAGTAAAAATTTATTTATAAAGACTGGTGGTAGTCTGGATTTGACCCACAGACCATAATTTGCCAATCCTTGCTTTAGAGGAATAAAAGTAGGAAACTAATGGTTTTTATCAATATACATTGATTGCTATAGAATACACAAAGTAACACGTTTATAGAAAAAACTAAAATAAAACAAATAATAAGACTTTTTTCCTTTAAGTTACTTCGTAAGTGTAGGAGAGTTTCTAAATCATCTTTTAATCATCCACTCTAATCTCAAGAATTTAGTTTTTTAACTTTTTTTTTCCAGAAAAAATCTAGAGGAAATGCTCAAGCAAGTAGCCATTCTTTTGATGTCAGAGTGTTAACGCAGTTGGTAAATATTTAAAAATCCTACTTATCTAAAATATGTTATTTCTAAGAATAATGTTTCGATGCTTTCCTTGTTTTGGCACTTACTAAAATGATAAGGTTAAAAATGTCTGTAAAATACGTCAGAACCAAGCATGAACTAACACTTTTTAGATTAGAGAAGAATGGGACTATAAGATGAACATAACTGCTTATAACCACTGATACCATTTCTGGTGGCAGGCATAGCTGACTTGCTTTTTTATTTTATTTTATTTTTTTGGTGGAGCATATAGCATTAACTTCAGTCTACAAAAATTATGAGTTGAAAGCATATAAATAAATGTCTATACATTGCTTGTAATTTTACCATATTTATCACATCCTGCTGTGTAGTCCAGTTATTTTTGTGCAAATCTTATATTGCATGCTGTATGGCTCCTATTAGATCAGGTCTTCTTTATACATCTTTTCATCATAATACTTACCTGAGTAACCTGCAGATAACATACAGGATGTCCTGCAAAAATGTGTACACACTTTGAATGATTATAAAGTCAGTGTTTATTAACACACAGTTCATACAGTTCATTTTCAAAATTAAGTAAGTTATCAGCTATTAAAGTTGTATACATTTTTTTGGGACACCCTATATAATTTAGGGAATGTAATGATTGAATATTAGTACTTTGGATGGTTATGTCAGTAAGAAAAAATTTATAGTTGTGTTTAATTTCAGAATATATTCAGTATACTCAGCAAATAACATATAACTTATGAGAAATATGAAAGCCTTTTAATAATTTATGGAGAGTATTTCACTTAGTTCAGTCAAAAATTTCTTCTCGCTTTATGAAGTGGCTTCCATAATGTTTAAATATTTCATATAGTTATTAATGTAGTTTATATAGTTAATAGAATGTTGGCTATGAGAACTTAAAGTGATTTTTGTCTTTGAGCTTCTGAATTCAGATCACAGATCCACAGCCACCGTCCAGATTTGCAGCGGCTCTATAAACCTTAAGGGTGCTGTGAAATGCAGAGCGTATATTCACAGCAATAAACCCAAAGTTAAAGATGCTGTGCAGGTAAAAGGAATAACCGGTACATGAAAAACAGATACATGTTAACATAACTATTCACAAATCCTAAAATTTTATTTCTTTCAGTCTCCGATATCATAATTATTAATTTAATTTTAACTAATAAAATTAGTGCCCAATCGGTTGGGCAGTAGTCACAAGATTTTCGTATGTAGAACATCCATTTTATGCCTTTTCAAAAAATTGATTTTAGAGGCAGAGAGAGAGAAAGAGAGAAAGAGAAACATTGATTTGTTGTTATACATTCATTGGTTGATTCTTGTATGTGCCCTGACCTGGGATTGAATCCATAACCTTGGCATTTTGGTTTGATGCTCTAACCAACTGAGCTACCCGGCCAGGACTCATTTTAAGCCTTTTTTAAAATGATGATTATACAAGTACATTAAGTACTTCATAGTTGTAACTTATTAGTACATTGGAAATATTTCTTCTAAGGGAAATTGAGCTTTTTAAATAATGGGAAAAGTATTCATTGGAAGAATTATTAGGTGTAGTATTCTACAATCTGTATAATTCACAAATTTAAAAAGGATGATTAACACTTTTGTCATAGTTATATATTTCCTACTTCAGAACACTAGGAGCATCTGTTTAGATACAAAATTTTATTTATTTATTTGGTTTTAATTTATTGTTTAGATGAGGTAGGCAAATTTGCTTTTAAACTATTAATGTTGTTAATAAGCATATGAAGTGGACATTTTAAAAGGAATGATGTATCATTTATTTTAGTGAACATGACTATACAGGGAATCCAGTTATGTGAAGGTTTTTTGGTAATAAAATAATGCTAATATAAAGTAACAGATTTTATTTCTTATTGTAATTTGTCGTATTTTTCCATAGGCAGTGAAGAGAGATATATTGAATACAGTTGCTGATCGTTGTGAAATACTCTTTGAGGATCTGATTTTGAATGAAATTCCAGAAAAAAAAGTTATGAGTATAAAATTAAGTACTTTTTTTGGCATGTGTTCAATTGATAGGACGTCAGGATATAATAGATATGTCATCTTTCATAACTACCTATATCTGTCTTTAATAACAATATGTCATCTTTTACTTTTCTTATTGAATGACCAGCAGATGCTCTGCTGTGGGAATATTCCTAAAGGACTCCTCTTTAGAATACTTTTTTTAAGAAGTATCTTTTTAAAAAGGTCTCCCCTCCATTTTTAACCTCAGACCAACTGGAAAACTTGGTCTTATTTAAATGCTAAATGGCTAACTTAACATTTTAATTTGAAAATTATAAGAGCTTTTCATTTTATAACGAGTAATTAAAACTCATTGCAACCAGTTCTTTAACATTTGATTTATAGTAAGCATACTTACCTCTTTTTTTAGGCAAAGCAAGAATGAATGCAGTTTGAAATAGTTTTTAAGTTTTGCATGCCAGTTACATAAACACATTATAGCCATCATTGAAAGCTTTGAGCTTAACCTGTTTCAAGAAACTGTGGCCGCAAATAAAATAATATATTCCTAATATCAGTGTGTGGACAACGCGCGTGCTACAGTACAAATTGCAGGAACATAACTTTACAGATAGAGGGCAATCTGGTCAAAGAGTAAAATTGCTTTTCCAGTTCTCGTATGAAAACAAGATAATAAGCAGAAGATGGCAGGAACACGTAATTTAAGTCAGGGCACTTCCCCAGACAGACACCCTTCGCCTTCTGTTTGGAGTTGTGTAAAACTACCACTTGTTTCTTGGCAAAGAAATAGGTTACTATTAGAGTGAGCCCTACTTTTCTACTTGGTCTGTACATTGGTAGATTTAAAAACCTTACCCATTACTGAAAGAGGCCATTCTTTACACAAAACCTTCATCTTTGTTGGTAGTTCATTAGAATCATTGTGTAGAACCAAACAATAATTGTGTGTATGTAGACCAGTGATGATGCTAGAAATTGGGGGAAATCTATTTTACTTTGTGAGTCGTCAAGGAAGAGCAGAAGCATAGTTAATTCTTCACTGTTTGTTTAGATCCAGATTGTTTTTTCAAAAAAATTACTTAACTCTATTTATGACAATATGTAGCACTAATTGTTGCCCCAGAAATACTAATTCTAATTTAGTGCATGTAGTATGTCTACTTATTAGATATTCATTAAACATTTGCTCTGTTCAAGGCAATGTGATAGATACAAATCAGTGACCAGTCTCCTTTCCTCAAGAAGCATATAATCTGATTTGAAAGATAGAATGTGGATGCATTATTAATTACCCAAGGCATGTAATAAAATCCTAAGAGTAACTAAGAACTTAGGGTTAATGGTCAGAGTCATAAATATCAGCAATATGAATGAGGCAAAGGGAAAATGAAACGAAAGCAAGATGGAGTTGGTAGTGAGGTTAGTATGTAAAACATGACTGGATGTCCTACACATGTTTGATGTGGGGGCTACTAGCATCCCATAGAGGACGTGAGTGGTGACATTGCTTTGTACATACATGTACGCAAATGCATGCTGTCATATTCTATACACTCGATATAGATGGGCCACTAATTTGGCTCCAGACTGGCATGAAGAGGGGAAAATTGCTTATAAAATTTAGTACTTGTAAAGTTAAACAAGAAAAACAACAGCTCCAGAGACCAGGGACGAAATTCTCTTGTGGGTATTTTATAGGAGAGTGGCTAATACAAGAATATATAATCAACAGCATCCTCATATTGAGGGCAGTGATCAGCTTATTTCATAGATGTCTCATTTAGGTCCCTTGCAGGGGCCAGGGGTATTGAGGTAAAGCAGGAGTCAGTAAGAGCAATTTTGTGCCAGGTCAGTCAGAAAATGAAAGTAACTTTTAGGTTTTATTTCTAGTACATGATGCTTTCACCTTATTTTAGGTTTTATTTCTGTTGGTATGTGATACCAGTGACAGACCTATCTAAATATTGGTAATGTTTCTTCTCCTTTTAGATTCTGAAAAAGAGTTTCACATCCTTCCTCACCGAGTTTTTGTCCCCATTCCGGGATCCACAGTAATGTTATGTGATTATAAATTTGGCGATGAGTCAGCTGAAGAAATCAGAGACCATTTTATAGAGATGTTAGATCAGAGGATTCAAATAGAAGATTTGGAAATTGCAGAGGAAATAAACACAGGTAATTCTATGATGTTATTTAAGAACCTGATTAGACTACTGCTAAGATTTCCTGTAATACTTTCAACAATAAAGATAAATTAGAAGAAAAAAAAGCCATAAGAAGTAGAGTTCAAATATTTAAGTTTAAAAGTTGAAGTTGATTGCTGTATAGTTAAACTTGTTATAAGTATCTAGCTTTCTTTTCTAAGTACTCAGTGTTATTTGTTTGGTTATTATTTAATTATTTCTGTTCTGTAATATATTGCCAAGTAGTTGCTATGTTTAAAATACATGTTTGCCAAGTAAATATCTTAAAATAACATAGTTTTAAATGACTTAAGGGATGAAGAACAATTTGTTTGTCAAAATGACTCACTTAAGGTGAGGGATAACTATGGCTCTAAAATTACTTAGATGCATTAGTCATCTCCTAGTAGATATTAACTTAATAATTCAGACGTACTTTATCCACAGTATCAGCTAAAATTTGGAGACACACCTTTAAAATCTGATGAAACTTCCCAGGTTTTATATTCCATCTGTAAAACAAGATAATGTGCTTGCCTCGCTTAACAGTTTTTTAAAGGTCAAATATATTACCATATTTTGCTTGCATATTTCAAATTTCAGGTTAGATCAAGAATCAGAAAACTTTTCTGTATGGGTCCAAATTACTATTTTAGGCTTTGTGGACACGTGAAGTCTAGCCCATGTGCTGCAAGTTTGGCCCATGGGCTGCAGTTTGCTGGTCCTGTCTCTATTATTAATACCTAATTATTTGAAATTATTAAATGCCAAAACCACGTAAGATTCATGATTCTTATCCTTTTGCAGCTTTTCTGAGCTCCTCTATGAATACTGAAGCTTCATTGGACAACACACATGATGATCAACCAAAAGAGCCAATCAAAACTACAGTAGTAGTGAAAATTCAACAAAACATGGGTATTTTATTTCTTTTATAACATTGAAAAAGATGGTATTTTGGGTTTCAGTTTTCTTGTTACTTTAAAGTTATTGTGTTTTATTTTACTTAAAAGTGCTAGATTAAGCCAGTATTTATTGAGAATTGTAGAAAGTGCTGGGCCCTGGAGATGGAAAGATTTACAAATGATGCATTATCCCAAGTGCCCTCAAAGATGACACTTCCTACTAATTTTTTTCTTGTTTTTAGAAGAAAAGCAGCATTTGAGTTTAGGGAATCGACTAGTATAGTAGGGCCAGTGTTTTCCAAACTGGTGTTCCCAGGAGTGCCATTGCAGTTTTTGATATCTGTTCTGTGAAAAAAAGTCAAATTTGAGTCTGAAAATTTATAATGCACTTCAGTATTTTAAAGGTTCCACGATAGTGTGGCAGTCACTGTCATGCTTTTCAGACTTATTGATCAAAGAACATGTACAGTCTTGTTTTGTGGAAAGTATTAAGATTTTTGACTGAGAGCCAGAAGTTTTAGTTGTTCTTCTTGTCACTTATTCGATAAACTTAAGTTAATTACGTAAATTCTTTGTGTGTGTGTATGTCTGGGATTCTCTGGTCCGTTTTGTTTTGTTTGAACTTACTAATTACTGTGGGGGGTGGGAGGTATGAGTTACCAACATAGAGTTACTAATTCTTAGATTTTAGAATGGTGGAATCTGAGTTTCTGTAGTTTTCAATAGCTCTGCAAATGACTGCATTTTAATGATTGAGAACCACTGCACACTGGAGCTGTCTTTTTGGTTTAAGCCAAGAAGCATGAGACCGCTGGAATGTCAATGTAAATTGATAGAACCCTTTAAAAGTATGTGTTAGTTTCTCTTACACGTGTGTGAGTGCATACATGTGTATCTTTTGTTGTTTAAGTTTCATTAAGGTGGTGAAATACGTGATTATCAGGCTAACCTTTGCAATCTACTTTTTTTTCAACTTATTGCTGTATTTTCCTCTAAGACTTTGTCGACTTTTAGGACATGTCTATATGCATGTAAGAATATGTGTTTGTGTGCTATTGTTTAGGCCCATCAGTTACCTACATTTCAGAGGCTAGAATCAGCTAAGCCCTTCTTTTGCTCATCCCATTTCCATTTGTTTTGTGTTTGTTTCCTTGTAGGTATGATTGCAGCATTTGCAGTTGCAGTCCTTGCTGCGGGTATCTCCTTTCACTACTTCAGTGATTAGGGTGAGGCACAAAGAGCTTGCTGATCATCCAGAAAATACTGACCAACAATTATGAATAATAAAGATGCAAGCAAGACATCTGCATTTAAGACAACAGCAGCCAGACCTGCTGCCAAACTCCTATTAGGTGTGTTTCTGTAAAATGAAATCACCAGCTGCCTTGTTTATTAGCCCTGCTTCTATTGGCTCAGGCTTCCAAAAATAAAGTTATTTATCTAGATGGAAGCTTTGTGTAACAAATCATTATTATTTATTTTTTTAAATGTTCAAAATGATGGTTTATTTTCACAGATTTTAGTCCTCTTGATCTGGATCACATATTCATCAGGACATTGAAAATTTGAATAGTCAGGGTTGGCTGAATATCTTAGTGATAGAACAACAGGAGAAAGTTCTACAAAGTGGGGCAACAACCTATTGGGTAAGTTCATACTGTAGGACCTTTCTAATGTATACCTAGTTCCAAAATATTGATCAAGTTCTGATCAAGGTGTAGGAAACCTTTCCAGATTTGAATCAGTAAGGGTTGCCAGAAATCATGTGCTTTCTCATGTTTGCATATCATAATTATTTTACTCTATTAAATAAAACTTTTCTTCCAGCAGCACATTAGACTAGGTACTGCAAAACAGCTAGATCCTGAATAAAAATATACCTTTGAATGCATTAATAGGCTCAAGGAAAGTAGGGGAGATCTCCAAGGACCATACCTTTATTTTTCTTTCCCCACAAAAATGAACACATTTTGAATTGGAAATCGTGGATATTGTGTTAAGCATACAGGTGGACTATGGTTGCTCAGATGGCAGATACCAATTTTAGCACTGCCTTATGCCGTTTGCCTCAGACCACAAACAAGGGGATTAAGCGGAATCTGAGACTCTACCCTAGCCAGCACAGTTGAAGCTGCCCTCGTCTTGAAGTTCCCTACAACTCCTGACAGAAGCAAGAAATAGGCCAGAGATTCTCATAGATTAAGATAAAGCAATGTCATTTCATGACTAGAGATCATCAGGCACAAGCTGAAGCTAGCTAGCATGAGAAAGAACCTATAGAAATAACCAGCTTTGGATTAAATTCTCCAAGGTCTCATCACCAACATACATGAAGGATGGAACCACAGGCAGATATGCAAAATAAAGAAATGGAACTGCTAGAAATGAGAAATGTTACTTGAAATTAAAAAAACCCTAAGACTTTGAATATCGTATTAGACTAAGCTGAAAAGACAGTGGATAAACTGAAAGCTAAAGCTAAAGAAATGACCCCGTGCACAGCAAGGAGAAATGAGTTGCTGGAAGATCTAAATACTAAGGTATCGAGGGAAGAATTATGGAGACTGAAGTACCAGGGGGAGAGAATGGAGCAGTGGCAATATTTGAAGAAATAACTTCCCACATTTGTTGGAAAACATGAATTCATAAATTCAGGAAGCCCAGTCTGTCCCAAGCATATATAGGTAAAATTCATGACTCAGCCCAATGTAATGTAACTGCTGGATAACCAACCCAAGGTTTTGAAAGCAATCAAGGGGGGGGGAAGATCAATAAAGGCGAGAGAAATACTGAGTAGGCTTTATGGCAATGACGTACCCGAAAGATGGTAAAATATGCCTTCAAAATTTTGAGACAAACTAACCAACTTAGGCTTTGTACCAAGCAAGACAAACTGAAATAAAGACATGCTCCACTGAAAAACAGATTTTACTGTCAACAGACCTTCATTAAAGAAACTGCAAAGAGATGATCTTCAGGAAGGGAGAGGGTTCCAAAAGGATGCTCTGACGTTGAAGAATTAGCGAGTAAATGAAATGACAAACACGTAAATCAAGTGTTTTTTATAGGAAACAAATGTAATGAAAGATGTGTTTATAAGAAGTAAAGTTGTAAACAAATGTAAAAACATTTTATGCAACAATGTGTCCTTTTAAAATAGGATATAATTGAAAAACTGGACAATGGCTTATAAGATGAGAGGAGAGTGATTAGAATTAAAGTGTTCTGAGGTGCTTTTATTCAGAAAATGGGTAAGATTGTTTAACTTTAAAATTATATTAAGTATGTATAATAAAATCTCAAGTATTACTGCTAAAGAATAGGTATGGGATGAATCATTCTGGAAGAAAGGAAGTTTAAAATACAGAATAAGTCAATAACTCAGTACAAAAGGAAAAATTATGGGTGGGAGAAGGGACAAAATTAGATAATAGTAAGAAGTAAACTAATTAAATATGAATAGACTAAAGTAAATCAAGTTTTTTTTTAAAATCCTGCTATAGGCTGGATTTAAAAACAAAACATTACGCAAATAGCAAAAGAAAATAACGTGTAGCTTTAGTGATGCTAAATCAGAATTAGACCTTATTATGTAAAAGCATGGAGAAGGCTACTAAATAACAGGAAAAGGATCAGTTCACTAGGAATATGTAACAATTTTAAATTTGTATATCCTTTATAAAATGACCTCAAAAAGTATGAACTATAGGGCTAAATCAACAAATTGAACAGCAGTCGGGAGATTTCAGCAGCTCTCAATTATTGATAAATCAAGCAGACTAAAGTTTGTGAATACAGATTTGAATAATTTTCAATATTGGTTCAATGAACATATTTAGAATAATCAACAGAGAATATTCTTAATCATTGTACATTAGCAAAAATTGATCATGTCCTAGGCATAAAGGAAGTCAGTAAATTTCACGTTAGTATTAAACGGATAATCAGAAATAAGTTAGAGGTCAGTAATAAAGGCTGATTCTTAAAAATCATAACTTTACAGGTTCAATAAAACTTTATAGATGAAAGAAAAACACACGCTTAGAATCTACATACGACATTTGGGCCAAGTGTATGACACAGCAGGAACAGCACCGAGGGACACGGTTTTCAGTGCTTAAGGGGAAAGGCTAAATGTGTAACTAAAAGAAGGAAAGGAACAGCAGAGTAAACAGTGTGGGAGCAAGGAGATAAAGGAAATGCAAGAAATGAATGCATTGGAAAACAGAATCATGATGCCTAAGTTGGTATCATCACAAAATAAAGTTGGCATAATTTGGACAAGAAGAAAACAAGACAAGTAAACAACATGATTGAAAAAGTTCTGTAGATACAATAAAGGGACTACCAGGAGCTGATGTTTACTGGCAGTGTGACCTTGGCCAAGTTACTTAACCCCCTGTGTCTCTCTTTCTCATCTGTAAAATGGAGATAATAATAGTATTTACTCATAGAATTGAGCATTCATTTATTTTGTATATATAAATCACCTAGAGCAGTGCCTGATATGCAGTAAGCATTCAATAAACGAGCAATTATTAAAAAAAAAAAAAGTATGGGTTTTGTCATTTTATTTAGCAGGGAGAATTACCTGAGAAATAAAGTGATAATTAAGTCTAAGAAGCCTACATGCAGTGTGATCCAATTTTTATAAAGCTTGAAAACACACACATTTAGCCCTGGCCAGTGTGGCTCTGTGGTTACAGCGTCGGCCCATGCACTGAAGGGTCTTAGGTTCAATTCCTGAGGGCACATACTTGGGTTGCTGGTTAGATCGCAGCCCCAGTCGGGATGCATGTGGGAGGCAACCAATCAATGTGTCTCTCACATGGATGTTTTTCTCCTTTCTCTCCCTCCCTTCCTCCCTCCCTCCCTTCCTCCCTCTCTCTCTAAAAATCAGTGGGAAAATCCTCAGTTAAGGATTAACAAAAACCAAACGAAAAACGCACATTTAAACTATGTTAAATATGTATATAGGATGCCCTAGCTGTTTTTGCTCAGTGGTGAGGCGTTGGTCCTTGGACCAAAGGGTTCCGGGTTTGTTTCTGGCCAAGGACATGTACCTCAGTTGCAGGCTTGGCCCTGGTAGGGGTGCGAGCGGGAGGCAACTACTCGATGTGTCTCACATCGAAGTTTCTCTCCCACTCTCTCTGAAAAAGCAATGGAAAAAATATCCTTTGATAAGGATTCAAATTATATATATATATGAATTTAATATTTAATATATAAATACATATATTTGAGATAAAACTTTAAAAAATGACATAACATAAATTCAGGATTGTGGTTATAATTTCAAGGTGAGAATGACGACAGGAAGGCAAGAAGGAAAATGAAATAGGTGAAACAATACTGGTGATGTTTCAGTTCTTGAGTTGAAATGGGTTTCTTGATGTTAATTTATTAATGTCATTACTGTATGTATTATTTTGGCTGTCTATTGCTAACAAACCATTCCCAAACTTATTTGGCTTGAAACAACAACCATTTCTTTTTTCTCATAGTCCTGACTTGACAGGGATCAGTTGGGTGGGCCTTCTCCACATGATGTTGACTAGAGCTATAATTTTCTAGGAGCTTGATTGAGCTTGAAACATCTGAGATAGATTATTCACATGGTTGGCAACTGATGGTGACTGTCAACTGGAAACTCAGCCGACACCTCAGTTCTTCTCCAAGTTGCTTTGGGTTCTCCCTATCATGATGCCCAGGATCCAAGAAGTAGCATCCTAAGTATGAGTATTCCAAGGAGGTAAACATAGAAACTGTCCTTTGAGACCTTGTCCTGAAAGTCTCAGAACATCTTTTCCTCTACATTGTATTGGTCAAAATAACCTACAAGACCAGCATGGATTTAAGGGAAAGGGGGAAAAGAACCTTACCCCCTCAATGGGCATACAGATACAAGAAGAAAAGGGTTTGAGAGCAGCCATATTTGGAGATTAGTTAATGTACTCTCTAACCATAACAATTTACATTCCTGATGTGGAAAGTGGACTCACCACCTCCCAGAACACCTTAAAAACCTCATCTCAATGTCTCAGATTCAGGTTCAAGGCCTATAATCTCGTCACCTACATCCATTTCAGGTGCATATAATCCATCTTTACTGTAGTTACTCTCAAGCTGGAGATACATGAACTAAAGAAAAATTTTCTTCCCATACTCACCTAGCATAAACTGACAAGATAGGCAATAGGCACACATTTCAAAAAGAGGGGAAATGAGAGGTACAAAACAGTGAATTGTCCAGAACAATTCTGAGCTTCAGTGGGGCACGGGTCTCCAATTCATCATCATCACAGAAGCAGAGTAGTTCTCAGCTCTAGGCTCTTTCCTACGAAATTTTAACTACTCTCACTCATCGTTTTTCATGAGAAATGGCTTATGTTTGAAGATGAGTAGCTTTCTCAACCTGCTTCCCTAATTTTTGAAGGTTGAAGGGCCCAGGACCCCCTTTCTATTTTGAACTGTTTCTCCCTTTTAGACTAAACTTAGGGAATTCTTTTAAAGATACTGTGCATTTCATATCACTCACATTATAATACACTCCTTTAGACAAAAGGCACACCCCCAAGTCTGTTCAAGACTGGCCTCTCTCTCTACTTGGAGCTGAGAGGGTGCTAAGCCACAATACCCTGAAGAACCTTAGGTACTCCCTGTCTAGCTAAGTAGACCATAGTGAGTGCTCACAAGATTCTTAGTAGTCTTTTTGTCCACCAAAAAGTTGGAAATAAGCTTTATTACGATGTTTATTGTGTTTGTTGAACCTTATCTAAATGATTCATCTAAATATAAATTAGCCAAAGTACAGTAAGTATCTAGTAAATTGTTCTTAATTTCTGACTTTAATAAATATATTGAAAGTATCAGTATTTTAATGAGTATTCACTAAAGGTAGCCAATGAGTTCTCATATAATTCATAACCTAGTATAAGGTAAATTAATACTTTAATACATTTTGATTTATCAAGGACAAGAGATAAAAGTGCAGGTAGAAATGACAAATGTGTGTCTCTACTTTTGCCATTTCTAAAGTGTCACCATATCTCTGGATTTTTACAACACTCACGTAGTAAGCAGGGCAGAGATTTGTTGAATGTGTTCAAATTTGATGGATACAATTGAAGGACACATTAATTATCATGTATTGTATCCGAGGACCACATAGGAAGAATAGACATTTGGCTAAGTAACTATTATCTCTCAATAATTGTAAATAGATTATTCATTTTTTCATCTTTGCAAAAATATTTTATAAATATTTAACATACTAAGCACCAAGTGAAGCTAGACTTTATACTGTACTGTGAAACTTCTGAAATTTTGATCCCAAAAGAGCCCTGTACAAAAATTCTGAATTAAAAAAGATGATCTTTTAGGAAAAGGTTTTTCACTCAATTTGTTCAGTTTGTTAAGGAGATCTTTTGTTTACAGAATTGCAAAGAGGAACTTAACGATAGGGATGAAGATAGTTTAATCAGCTCTTAGATTCTATTTTAGTCAAATCCAATTTAGTTGTAGATGTACACCAGATGCCTGTCCTCAGGATTAAAATTCTGAACGTCAATAAGCTAAGATGCTAGACTGCAATATGTGTATCTAAACCAATGCAGTAAGGTTTAAATAATATTCCTATGCTTTTAACTTGGCACTACTGAAAATATTTTCTA